ACATTAATAACAGTGTTGGTCTGTAGTTTTCTTGTGGTATCTTCAGTGTCAGGGCAATACTGGCCTCATAGAATGATTTAGAAAGTGTTTCCTCCACTTCTACTTTTTGGAAGAGTAGGATTTGTTTTAATTCTCCTTTAAATGTTTGGTAGAACTCATCAGTGAAGCCATCCAGTCCTAGAGTTTTCTTTGGAGATTAAATAATTTAAATGTATTTATTTTTCTTTTGTAGTATACCGTTTTGATTCCTTTCTCATTTCCTTTTGTGTATATATTTAGATATTTTTCAGTGGTTACCTTGAGGATCACAACTAACATCATAAACCTCCAACAGCTTACCCTGAATTGATACCAACTTAGCTTTCATATTATAGCATACAAATCTCTGATCCTATACAGCGTCACTCTTCCTTCCCATTTTAGGTTTTCGTTGTCTCAGATTTTATCTTTATACATTGTGTACCCATTAACATAGTTTTATAATCATTATTTTACGTACATTTGTCTTTTAAATCATGTAGGAAATAAAAGGAGTTATAAACCAAAAATACATTAATATTGGTTTTAATATTTAGATGTGTGATGGACTTTACCAGAGATTTGATTTGGTTTTATGGCTTCAAGTTATTGTCTAGTGTTCTTTTATTTCCTCTAAGGATTCTCTTTAGCATTTCTTATAGGGAAGGTGTACTACTATCAAACTCCTCCAGCTTTTATTTACCTGGCAGTGTCTTAATTTCTCTTTCATTTCTGTAGTATAATTTTGCTGGATATATAATTCTTGGTTGGCAGTCTTAAGTTTTTTGGGGGGTTTTGCTTTTGTTTCTTTTAGCACTTTAAACGTGTCATTCCACTGCTTTCTGCCCTCCATGGTTTTTGCTGAAAAATCAGCTCATAATCTTATTGAGGATCCCATGGTCATAAGTCACCCTCCCTTGCTACTTTAAAGATTCTCTCTTTGTCTTTGCCTTTTAGCAGTTTGAATATAATGTTTCTCATTGTGGATCTATTTGCATTTATCCTTAGAGTTTGTTGAACTTTTTGGATGTGTAGCTTCATGTCTTTTACTAAGTTTGGGAAATTTGTGGCCATTATTTTCTTAAATATTCTTTTTGTTCTTTTCTCTCTTCTTTATCTGGGACTCCCATTGTGTATATTTTGGTCAACTTGATGGTGTCCCACGGGTCTCGTAGACTCTGCTCATTTCTGCTCCTCAGACTGTATAGTTTCACTTCCTATTTTCAAGTTGATTGCCTTTTTCTTCCTTGTGTTCACGTATGCTGTTGAAATCCGTTAGTGAATCTTCACTGTGTTTTTCAGCACCTGAATTTCTACTTGGTTCCTTTTTAAAGTTTCTGTCTCTGTTGATATTCTCTACTTGAATGGAATATTCTTTGTACTCAACATTTGGCAACCATTGTTCTCAGCATTTAGTCTACCAGTTTTTGGCATAGGTACTGTAGTTATCCCCATTTAACCATGAGTTGATTGTTTTTAGTAAATATCTTAGTACTGAAGTACTGATTAAGAGCTCTCCTTATGAGAGTGGAGCTTTTCAGCAACTGGGTTTTTTCTTCAATGTGATTGGGCAAAAATCAGTCATAATGGAAGACCCTGAAGTGCTTGATATATCAGAGACATCTTTTTTTTTTTGGAGGTGAGTCTGTCGCCCAGGGTGGAGTGCAGTGGCATGATCTCGGCTCACTGCAACCTCCACCTCCCGGGTTGAAGCGATTCTCTGACCTCAGCCTCCCGAGTCGCTGGGACTACAGGTGCATGCCACCATGCCCAGCTAGTTTTTATATTTTTAGTAGACACCGTGTTTCACCATATTGGTCAGGCTGTTCTTGAACTCCTGACCTCAGGTGATCCACCCACCTCAGCCTCCCAAAGTGCTGGGAGTGAGCCAGCGTGAGCCATTGCACCCGGCAGAGACATCTTTTTTTTGGTCCGGTCTGCACTGATGGTGCCTGATTGTCACTTTTCTTTCTCAAGATGTGGTTGGTTATGGTGATTTTAATTAATATTCACATTTCTAGAAACCACTTTTCATTCTCACCAAACTTAGCTTCTCTGAGTTTAGAAATGTTCCATTTGTAGTATGGAGCAGATTGGATCCTTTCTTGTCCTTATACTTTCCTTATGAACGTTGCTATAATAATCATGTTTGTACACAATTCCCCTAGAATAGGTTCCTAAAATGAAATGTGAATCATAATATATGTGTAATTTTCATTTGAATAGTGTTTGAGACAAAGATATGATTTCCTGCTGGCTGGGATAATCTTGAAGGTCTTTACTAAAATGATAGATACAATTTAAGTAGATCTTAAAGGATAGACAGGCTTTCTGTAATTAGGGAGGTGCTACGGGAATAGTTAAGAGAGAGAGAGAAGTAATATAAAGTTCATGGTAGGATACCCTTTTGTTTAAAAATAGGATGTTTATAAGAAGGACTAATGACAAACAAAGTTTCCAGTATTTTAATATAAAATTCTAAAAACTATATAGAAAAGGCAAAAGCACCATACAGTGAGCACACACTCAGCACCAAGATTCTATTGTTACTTTTTGCATCACTTGCATTACCATATTATTAATACATCCGTTTATTCATCATCCTATCTTACTCATTCCATAATAAAATAAATAGTAGATATCATTATGCTTCACCTATAAACCCTTCAGTATGCATTTCATTAGAGTTCTAATATTTGTGTACTTTTTCTGTTTTTTTTTGGTTTTTTTTTTTGTTTTTTTTTTTTGGAGACGGAGTCTCGCTCTGTCACCCAGGCTGGAGTGCGGTGGCGCGATCTCAGCTCACTGCAAGCTCTGCTGCCTCCCAGGTTAATGCCATTCTCCTGCCTCAGCCTCCCTAGAAGCTGGGACTACAGGCACCTGCCATCAAGCCCGGCTAATTTTTTTGTATTTTCAGTAGAGACGGAGTTTCACTGTGTTCGCCAGGATGGTCTCGATCTCCTGACCTCGTGATCCGCCCGCCTCGGCCTCCCAAAGTGCTGGGATTACAGGCGTGAGACACCGGGCCCGGCCTGTGTACTTTTTCTTTTACCTCCAAGCAGCATCAGGATATAATAAATTATTATCATATGATTGAATGAGTTTTGACAAGGCATTCATTTGTGTAACCAAAACTCTCAAGATAGAGAACATTTCCATCATATCAGAAAATGCCCTTATGCCACTTTCCAGGCAGCCTTTTCCTTACCCTCCATCCAGCATTACTGTTTTGATATATTTTTTAAACCACAAAACCCACTTTTGCTATTAGTTTTCTTCAATTAACCCACCCAAATGAAGTACAATTTTTAGTTCTGCTATTTGATTTTTAGTTAGATCTGGATCTCTGCATGTTTTTCATTTTAAGTAGTTGCCCTGAAGATTACATTTACGTTGTTACTTTTCACTATTTAGGACAAATACTGTACAATTTCATGTAAAATATAAGACCTTTGCACAAATGAAGTTTTCATTTAACCCCTCTACCACTTGTTTTGTATGTTGTAATTTTCATATCTTACATAAGTACATAGAAAATGGTAAGTCATTATTAAATGGGAGTAATTATAGGACCTATTCAACAAAATTGGAATACTAAATGCAGGAAACAGTGACAGCCAAGTGTTAAGAGTATAGAAAATTTTAGCTCAACAAATAGAGAATATCAGTAAAGACATAGAAATTATAAAAATGAAACATTCAGGAACTGAAAAACAATAACTATATAATATAATATGTAAGCATATCGTATATATCACAGTATTATAGATTTTCCTTTAATCGTGTGTGTATCTTAAAGATACTGAAAGGAAAATGTAGTCTTTTATATTTAACATTTTTAGTGCTCTTTTTTTCCCCTGAATATTGCCAGATAAAGTAGGCATTGGCACTCAATCCTCAGATGTATCTTTTCTACAATGGGTAGCATCAGAGGTCTCTGTTCAGTTCTTTTAGCATGCTTGGGCTGCTTGGAATCTTTCCTACATACACGTATTTCAGAGGCAGAGTGAATACACAGAATTTAGGACTCTCCTTTGGTGCCTGCTTTCTGAGATTTCCTCCTTTCCTTTCTAGATCTGTGCTGTCCAATAGAACTTTCTGCCATTATGGAAATGTTGTATAGTGTATACCATCCAGAATGGTAGCTATTTGCTTCATGTGGCTGTTGAGCACATGAAATGTGGCTAGTGCAGTTGAGAAATGGAATTTTTAATTTAAATCTACATTTGAGTAGTCACATTTGGCTAGTGGCAACTTTATTGAACAGACCATCCTTGCAGAAAGGTCTGTTAGCACTGTTCTTGATGCTGTGGTCATTGCAAACTCAGTCCCCATTTCTGTCTGGGGTTTAGCAGACCCGCAGAATCAGAACAGGGCCTTTTCTTAGGTACAAATGTATTATGAAGAAGGAAACTCAAGCAGTACTTTCCCTTTGTCCCTGCCAACTATGACTGATTTTGATTGCTTTCCAGAGCCTTCAAGTAATAGTTGTTTTGTGTATTTTTACTAGAGTTTATAAATACATCTGTGTCTGATAGAACTACTGCACTATTTAAGAGAAGCAGAACTCCACCTGTTAATCATTTAAGTGGTGACCTAATTTTAAGGAATTCATATTTGGTGCTTTGTTATCGTAATTTTCTTACCAATCACTAATTAAATATTTTTGGTTCTGAAATATTTAGCTGATATAGCCAGCTTCATCTCCCATTTCTTTAAGAAAAAACTAGTTACTTAATACTATCATTGTTTAGATGAAAAAGTATTTGGAAGACTTATTTTTCTGTGTCTCTTAATAGAATTTTTATTTTAAACTATCGTAGCCCCGCTTACTAAAAGTATTACTAACCTTTAATGTTACTGAATCTTAGTATTCTAAATTTGATATTCCCATCTCCAGTCATGTTAGAATTTAATGGAATTCTTCAAAGCAACAAACTGCTATCGTTGATAACTTGTTTGGTATACTTTGCTTTTTCTAGGTATCTGAAAAGGTTTAAAGTGATGAAGATCAAAGTTCTAAGAAGCTGGTGCCGTCAGATCCTTAAAGGACTTCAGTTTCTTCATACTCGAACTCCACCTATTATTCACCGCGATCTTAAATGTGACAACATCTTTATCACGGGCCCTACTGGCTCCGTTAAGATTGGAGACCTTGGTCTGGCAACCCTGAAGCGGGCTTCCTTTGCCAAGAGTGTGATAGGTATGTTTCAGGTGTACCTTGGAGCCTGACTGGCTTTCTGACATTCCTTTGATTTAGAATCCTGGCCCTGTCAGAGTTTTAAGTGATATAAACCTTAAGAAATTCATAGCTTGAACTCAGGAGGTGATCCGTTCTACTTACGAGATGTAGGATTCTCTACATTTGTGCTTCTTGGAATCATCTTAGAGGCTGTTGATAACACTACATTACAAGGAATAAAGTGAACTTTGTTGATAAAACCTAATGTAACAGTCTTTTTTGTTGTTGTTGTTGAGATGGAGTCTCTCTGTGTCACCCAGGCTGGAGTGCAGTGGTGCGATCTCAGTTCATTGCAACCTCCACCCACCGGGTTCAAGTGATTCTTGTGCCTCAGCCTCCCGAGTAGCTGGGATTACAGGCATGCATCACCACGCCTGGCTAATTTTTGTATTTTTAGTAGAAATGGGGTTTCACCATGTTGGCCAGGCTGGTCTCGAACTCCTGGCCTCAAGTGATCCACCTGCCTCAGCCTCAAGTGCTGGGATTACAGGCATGAGCCACCTTGCCCAGCCAGCCATCTTTTCATTACATACTGTTGATACTTAATATTATGCACTATTTATGTAATACATACAGTATGTCACTTCATGAAAGAAATGGAATTTATGTTTAGTTTTACTTCCTAAAATTAAAAGATAAAAATTAAATTTTTAGACATATAAAATGTCTGTTGGGTATATATGTGTATTCAAGAATATTGGCCAAGCACAGTTGGCTCATACCTGTAATCCCAGCACTTTAGGAGGCTGAGGTGGGAGGATCACTTGAGGTCAGGAGTTTGAGACCAGTCTGGCCAACCTGGAAAAACTCTTATCTCTATTAAAAATACAAAAAAAAAAAAAAAAATTAGCCAGGTATGGTGGCAGGTGCCTGTAGTCCCAGCTACTTGGGAGGCTGAGGCAGGAGAATCGCTTGAATCCGGGAAGTGGAGGTTGCACTGAGCTGAGATTGCACCACTACACTCCAGCCTGGGCAACAGAGCAAGACTCCGTCTCCAAAAAAAAAAAAAAAAGAATATCTAGCCTCCTAACATTTTGTGAAAATAAATATGACAATTCATTCTGAAAAGTTGGTTTTATCAACTTTTTTCTTAGTCTGACTCTTCAGAAGTTATGATCTATCTAAAAGAGTATTTCTCAACCTCAGTACTACTGAGATTTGGGGTTGGACAATTCTTTCTTGTAAGGGGCTGTCTTGTACATTGTAAGACTCGAGCAGCATTCCCAGCCTCTACCCACTAGATACCAGTAGCACGCTCCCTGTCTGTCTTCTAGTTGTTATGACCAAAAGTGCGTCCAGACATTACTATATATGGCTCCTAGAAGACAAAATTGCCCCCTGTTGAGAATCACTTATCTAAAGAACAAGGCTGTCCCTTTCAGACTTTATATGTTAGAAACTCAAAGCTGGAAAAACAATTTAATGCCTATTTTGATAAACTTTCACTCTATGAAGAGGGTATCACAATTTAAAAACTTGAAGTCTTCATAAACACTCTGTTTACTCCCTCCAAAAGGTGAGAATAACAAAAGAAACCCATTAATTTTTAAGTGAACTTGGATCCTAGGTATTACTAGGAAAATCACAGAACACCAGTTATTTGTACATCTTTCAAAAACAGTGTTCTCCTTGGAATATTATGTAACTTCAGTTAGGAACACTTTCACCTTTTCTTATAATACATTCACAAGAAGAATGGGAACAGTGTCATTTAAAGCTGAATTTCTTTTTTTGCCTTCTTCACAGGAAACATTTCTTTGATTGTCTTTGGCATCCTGAAATCCCTGACCCAATAGAGTTTTTATTTTCTTTGTTCATTAAATCATAGTGTGCATGTCTGTTTCTTGGAATGCCTTATAATTTGAAGTATGCAGACCTAATTTTCTGGAAGCATTATAAAACTTAGTCTTGTGAGATCACACACTGTGCTCATAAATCAGTCTGTATTTGGGTTCTATATTTGTTTGTGTATTTGTCTTTTTGCCTGTAGGATGTCCCTCACTATATTTCTTGTGTCTGTAGTAGGCTTATTTGTGTACTACAGGTGCGATGGTAAGTATGTGAAGAAAAGGGCTCTGGTGAGTGGCCTTTGGAGACAATTACATTTTATTTCATTTTTTAAAAAGTGTATTGAATATCGAGTTTTTCACTGCAAGGCCTTCTTAAAAAGTGAAACTAATCAGATTGAGTGTTAATGCCAAGAATGTAGCTGTAAATATTAACCTACAACTACCATACATTAGTGGACACACAAGTATTTTGATCTTTTTAAACCCATCATCTTATCTTACAGATGTGCCATTATATCTGTTTTGTTCCTTGCATAGTGTCTTTCCTTTTTCTTCTATTTGTTTTCAATATGAATTATATTAGTTTATCTCTTAGCCAAGGCTTTATTTTGACATATTGTTTAGAGAAATTCATTTTACACAGTAAATCAATAAATAGATCCTTGACCTTATTCCAGTTTCATATAAAGGCCTTGCAGTGGAAGATCTTTTACGAGATATTTGATGGAACAGACTGACTGAGAAGATTTCCTTCCTCTTTTTCCCCCCTTTCCTTTTTTCTCCCCATTCCAATTTCTTCTCTCTCACAGGTCAACCCCTCTGCTTCTCTCCCCGGTGAGTAACGTCTGAAGCTTCTGCTCGCATTGAGTCTGAATCGTTCTTTTAATTTAAGGTACCCCAGAGTTCATGGCCCCTGAGATGTATGAGGAGAAATATGATGAATCCGTTGACGTTTATGCTTTTGGGATGTGCATGCTTGAGATGGCTACATCTGAATATCCTTACTCGGAGTGCCAGAATGCTGCGCAGATCTACCGTCGCGTGACCAGTGTAAGTCCTCCCCTAACTGATTGTTGAACTTGGGTTATATCTAACAAAGAATCCCAAGGTGGATGACATCAAACCATGTAAAAGAGGACAATAGTGGAAGGCATACTGAGTGAACTGTTGGAGTGGTGGTGGTGGTGTTGAGGTATGTGTAAGGCTATTGCTCATGATACAGTGAAAGATAAAGATCAAAGAACCACTAGTTTATCCTGTACCCACCTTGCATTCATTTAAATCTTTATGATGTTTAGAAACACACCCTCATTGCCTACTTTTTAACCCCCTATTAATTCAGCTAAACTCCCATTTTCTCCTACCACATAGGTCAGAGTTAAAAGTAATGTTTTTAATTCAAGATGCTTTGTCAAATTAATTTGTTCACTGACTTTTCTCTGAATGACTTGATATGATTTATTAAATCTTATATATTAGTACCTACAATATATAAGGCATAAATAAATACCTTTTTGTAGTTTAAATTACCCATGGTAGTTCATGTCTGCTGACAGATATTTTCTACAGCTGTCTAATTGAAACCTGAAAGGTAGTTGTTATGATTCACTTCACTTTATCACTGCATACTTCATTATGCTACTCTAAAATACATTTTCTTACATAACCATATTATGCCTGAAAAAATTAACAATCATTTCTGGATCATCCAACACCCTGAACCTGTTCAGATATTCTCTCCATTGTTTCAAAAATGTCCGTTGACAGTGTTCAAAATAGGCTCCATCAAGGTCTACAAAATGTATTTTATTGTTGTAGTTCTTAATCTAGAACTATTGCTTTTACTTTCATTTTCTGCATGCCAGAGATTTATTGAAAAACTTGGATTATTTTGAGGAATGTTCCACATTCTGAATTTTCCTTGTAGTGTCATTTAACTGGTTTATTCTTCTACATTTCTGTAAAGAGAAGTTTACCTTAAAATAGTTGGGGTAGGTAAACAACGTAAAAATAATTTTGTCTTTTTTACTCGCATTCACCCCAGAGTGTACGTTGTCGTTTTCCAGAGGCTGTATGACACTGCACATGTGATACTGCACATGTGATACTGCACATACGATACTGCACATGTGATACTGCACATGCGATACTGCACATGTGATACTGCACATACGATACTGCACATATGATACTGCAGCAGAGTACATGCAGAAGCAGATACAAGAATTCATTTAAGGCCGGGCGCGGTGGCTCACGCCTGTAATCTCAGCACTTCGGGAGGTCGAGGTGGGTGGATCACTTGAGGTCAGGAGTATGAGACTAGACTGGCCAACGTGGTAAAACCCCATCTCTACTAAAAATACAAAAATTAGCCGGGTGTTGGCGGTGCGCCCCTGTAATCCCAGCTACTCTAGAGGCTGAGGCCCGAGAATCTCTGGAACCCAGGAGGTGGAGTTTGCAGTGAGCCAGGATTGTGCCACTGCACTCCAGCCTGGGTGACAGAGTAAGACTCTGTCTCAAAAAAAAAAAAAATTCATTTGTCTTCCATTAAACCTTTTTTTTTTTTTTTTTTTGAGACAGAGTCTCGCTCTGTTGCCCAGGCTGGAGTGCAGTGGCCGGATCTCAGCTCACTGCAAGCTCCACCTCCCGGGTTTACACCATTCTCCTGCCTCAGCCTCCTGAGTAACTGGGACTACAGGCGCCCGCCACCTCGCCCGGCTAGTTTTTTGTATTTTTTAGTAGAGGCGGGGTTTCACCAGGTTAGCCAGGATGGTCTCGATCTCCTGACCTCGTGATCTGCCCGTCTCGGCCTCCCAAAGTGCTAGGATTACAGGCTTGAGCCACCGCGCCCAGCCTAAACTATATTTTTAAAAAGATTACAAAAATGTAAAACAATACCAATCTTATCACTAAATTTGTCTTGTTTTGGAAAATACTGAATTTTTAATTTTAAATATTATATATTTGTAACATAATGAGTTATAATTTTAAATGAATTAATAAATATTTTTAAACTTTCTCAGGTTTACCATCTGTCATGGTAAATATTAATAGATGTAACACACATAGACAAAATCCCTCTGAGGTCTCCAGTAATGTAAATTTTAAGAGTATAAAGGGGTCCTGAGACAAAAGTTTGAGAACCACTGTTCAAAAGTCTTGATAAAATTTAGGCTAAACATTTTTTGCAAGGATACTTAATATGTGGTGCTGTATATGTTATATTGCACCAAGAGGCTCAGAGTATCTCATTATCTCATTTTTAGTAATGTAATTTAATTGAATTTTGATATAGAAGATGTAATTATAAATTGCTTATTTAGATTTTGATAGCTGAACAGAATGGAAGCGTTTATTTTTTTGTTATTTATTTTTTATTTTTTTGAGACGGAGTCTCCCTCTGTCGCCCAGGCCAGAGTGCAGTGGCATGATCTCGACTCACTGCAAACTCCGCCTCCCGGGTTCATCGCGTTCTCCTGCCTCATCCTTCCGAGTAGCTGGGACTACAGGCGCCCGCAACCACTCCGGGCTAATTTTTTGGTATTTTTAGTAGAGGTGGGGTTTCACCGTGTTAGCCAGGATGGTCTCGGTCTCTTGACCTCATGATCCACCCGCCTCGGCCTCCCAAAGTGCTGGGATTACAGGCGTGAGCCAGAAATGTTTATTATTAAAAACTGATAGGAAACATTTTGCTTTAGGTAGACCAAATTTTACCTCTTCATAAAGGCTTGGAAGAAGTCTTTGGAGTCAGAGATTAATTATAATTATTTATTGCTGTGAATATTCTTTCAGTATCCTTGTGTATTTGTATGTGATTCTGTTGCTGATGGATATGGAGCTACTTTGGACAATTAGTTTAATTTCATGTGAAGTGTAAGAACTGGTGGAGGTTTCATACCCAGTAAAAATGACAGCTGTTGTTTTCAGAGAAAGCAGCATAACTGTCAAGTTACTTCTGGCTTTGTAATTGGGATGGTATTTTGTCAGTTATTATTATCGGGTGTGTGTCTCCAAGTCTTTGGCCTGAGGCCTTACTGTTAAATTTATTAACCTCTTTTTTTTTTTTTCTGAGACGGAGTCTCGCTCTGTCTCCCGGGCTGGAGGGCAGTGGCGCAGTCTCGCCTCACTGCAAGCTCCGCCTCCCGGGTTCCCACCATTCTCCTGCCTCAGCCTCCCGAGTAGCTGGGACCACAGGCGCCGCCACCGCGCCCGGCTAATTTTTTTGTATTTTTAGTAGAGACGGGGTTTCACCGTGTTAGCCAGGATGGTCTCGATCTCCTGACCTCGTGATCCGCCCGCCTCGGCCTCCCAAAGTGCTGGGATTACAGGCGTATTAACCTCTTCTTAATACTCACCCAGATTCTAATACATGTTATAATTGTAATCCCTGAAGCACTAACTCTCAATTTGGGCTGAATGGGGGCAGGATAAATTTTTTTTTATGCCTTCAGATGATTTTGATAAGTACCCTAGTCATTATTCTACATTTATGCCCTTAGAAAGCTCATCTGCTTTGCCTCTCAGAGTTCTGTATCATCATTCCCAGTTCATGTCTCTTATTATTCCCCTTTCTTCCCCTGATGCATAGTAATTTACATTCTCTTTTTATTTTCCCCTTTGAGCATAGGGTAGACTGTTTATTGGGTAATGTCATCTTTTATTTTGTTTAAAATTGTAGAAAACTTAAGAGGTATATTTGATTTCTTGTTTTTTACTCACTACTTCCACTACTTCCAGTTTATAAGGTTCTTGCTTCAGAATACCTCTTAGATGCAAGCCTTCTTCATTCCCATTGCCACAACTCTGATTTCACATCTTCGTTACTTCACACCTTGCATTATATTCCAGAAGTAGTTTACACTGTGAATTTATTTTTTTATTTCACTTAAACTTGTTGAGCTTTCTTGCTCTCCTTTCTTGGTATAAGGAACTTCCGATACCAGTTTGCTTATATCAGAGCAAGTACAAATTCTTAATCTTTTGCTATTCTTCATCTTCATCCAAGCACTTTATTTTAGTTAAATCATTATCTCACACATATGCCACATCCTTTCCTGTATTCCTATCCATTTGTAAATGTTATATAATACTGTACCTCTTCTATAAGCTTTTCTGCTGTCCAGTCAATCCATATACTTAACAGTCTTCCTCCATGACATTTTATCTGATTGGTTTCACTGTATAATGATCTTTGCCTTTTCTGAGCTGATTCTTCTGAACTGATACGAATTATAAAATTTTGTTTATAATTGGTTATTCTACTTATAAACTCATAAATACAATTAATGTACTTACTGCTTATTATTTTTATTGCTTTATATTCTTTAAAATATTTTAATCTAGTACATTTGTATAATTTCATCCTTTTCCAAAGCACTATCCTAAACACAAAATAAATCCCAGTGTCAATAAATGCAACATTTTCTGAATCCCTCCTATGTCCCATGCCCAGAGCTTGATACTAAGTAAAGGTGAATAATCACATTTCCTGTCTTCAGAAAACTACCTCTAATATAGAAGATTAATATGTGAACAAAGAATTATAATTACATTATGGTGGGTATTTTAATAGACACAAGCACTAAGGAGAGTGGAGGAACAATGGTTAACCCTGCTATGGATTAGGGAAGATTTCACAAAAAGAGCGTTTTATGAACTGTCAAAAAGAAAAGGTGGAAGAATGGTGAGAGGCCATTCTAAGAAGCAGGAATAGGATTTACATGAATGCTGAGGTGCCAAACATGGTAGTACAATGGAAGGAAAGGCAAATTGATCAAATAGAGTGAAGCTGTTGTCTTGTGGTTGTAAAGGAGGGACAAATCAATTGCTACTTAGTTTCTCCTGCTCCCAGATCCTGTCTCATCTCAGAGCAGAGAGTTTGGGGTCAGTAATTAAGAGGCAAACTTCTGACTCCTGGTACGTGTATTTTTGCTGCTATTATATTGTTGTGTTTTAATGGTGAAAGAGATCTTATTTGTTTATAGGCTTTTGGAAGGAGCAAGAGGAAGAGAGAGAGAAGTAGAAATCATGGTGGGTGGTGGTGGATAGGA